AGAATACAAGTACTAAGACTTAGTAAGTTTGTCGACTGCCTCTCTCTTTTTGTCGTCGTCACTCGATTTATGATGAATTTCTGAAATTTCATGAAATATTTCACGTGACCTTTCATGATTTTATTTTTTTATGAAATTTTGCCACCCTGTTCAGGCGTTGCGATATTTCTTTCAATAACGAATTTACTGGGAAAATTCTGAATATTTTCCCCTCCATTTTTCAGACAATTTTGTTCGCAATTTGATCCAAAGTATCTGAAAATTTCAAGGGAATATATTCATAACCTTTTTCAAAACAACGTGTTTTCTTCGAGGAAACTAGGCAACTTTCGGATGTTCATGCGGTGTCCCTCCTTAGCACGGCAGAACAGGTTTCAAATTATCGCAGCGGGTCGCGCGAACAACAACGCTTCGTCGCGCGTTGTCTGTGGAAGGGTGGCTGAAGACGCCGCGCCGACTGGGCCGAGGACGCGAGGACGCGCCAAAAACAATCAGCATGAGCCATAGGGCGGCGTTGTAGAATGACTCGAATACATATAAATGTACCGCCAGTGTAGAGGTATGCGGCTTTCAGGGACAGGACTCCTGAATTCCCACTGGTGCCATGCAGCGACTCTAAAATCAGGGATGTCATGATGCCCATGGTTAATTCGAGCACTACGAGGGGCATTTAGGCTGACCATTTGACACCACCCCCCTTCCCCAAATTAGAAAATAATGGAAAGAGCTTGAAAAACAGCTGAAAAGTTACCTTAGAAAATGTTGCACCGGAAAGTTTACCGCGAATCCTGAATTGACCATCACGCCGAATTCAGCAAAAAAGAACGAAACCGCACAAAGTCAGAACCAAGAAAATTAGGATTTAATTTTATTTCTTAACAAATCTGAATGTTAAATGTAAATTTGAACCCCTGCAGAAATATGTACAAAATATCTGTGCTTACAAAATATATTTTTGACTTTGGATTTTTGATAAAATTTGCGGCGAGTTGACGTCAAACATTTTCATAACTAGGCCGCCCCTCCCCCAAGAAACCCTGGCCTCGTCTTTTTCGCTGAATTCGGTGTAACTCAGTTTCCAGTTTTATCATTTCGGCCTAACGCGAACGAAAAGCAAGCCGCCAGAAATCAGAATTTAGTTTTTTAAAATTCAGCCCATTTGCCGTTGCTGTAATAAAATGAGTGACAAAGGAAATGCCACTCTTCAACTCTCTTGCGAGAATCCAAAGATTCAGGCGCCCGTCCTTATCGTATGCTTTGAAATTTTACGTTACGGCCACATTCCGAGCCGAAAGCACTCGTAGATTCGCACGAAGAACCAAAACTCGTCTCTTAGGTAGGGCAAACGCACGTTATCGTGGTCCGTTAAACTTTGGTACATGTGTGTAGAATAAAGCCCTTTGTTACGTGCAGTTGACTGAAGCGTCACAAATGAAACTCGCACCTCGTTAAAACGCTTCAAGCAAGCAGAAATTCGCTTTCGCCGAGTGTTTCGGAGACTCAGTGCAATTTGCAAATCATCTCGAGACCTTAAAAGAATACTCACGCACGCACACTTAAAAATGCGCGGAGTTCAGACGGTAAACAGAATGTTTCAAATTCGTGCAGAACTAGAGTACCTTTATAGGGAAAATACGGATTTGTAGAAATATGGAAGTCTTGAGGCCTAAAAGGGCAACTAACCTTTTAACGCAAAAAATTGTATTGCCAATGTTCAGATTTCAATATCACAGATAGCTCAACGGTGTTCGTAAATGAGCGTTCTTCCAAAAAATGAGTGTATTTATTCAAAAATTAAGTCCAATTCTTTTTCATTTCATTAAAATCAACTTTATCCTCATTTGGACCTAGTTCACCAGAAAGGAACCAACCCACGTCTTCGCCAAAATTGAGTAAAGAATGTTCTCAAGCTTCACTAGTCGTGTATTTTCTCCTGCCAAAAGCTCCAAGTCGAAAAAAAATTAGTCTGTGAAAAGAGGGATTAAAGTGCATTTCCTACATTGAGTCTCACGGAGGCATGGAACTTGAAACCTCTTTTTCTCAGTTAACTTTAAGTGGGTTGGCTCCTCTTTGATGAACTCGCTCAATTTAAGAGCTATTCTATCGTTTCATTTCGACATCGCATGATGCTGAAGATAGGCAACTCATTTTTCTTAAAGGATTAATAATTGAATCAGCGAGTTCGAAAACACACCATCTTGGGTTTTTTTCGATTTTCACTTTTTTACGGTTTAGTAACACTTATAGATAGAAGCATCTGCACGCAAAAGGAAATTTCGAAGTTGCAATCTGAAGTGCTCGAAACAGCCACGGGAAAAGGGAAAAATCGAAGTATTTCTTTGGAAATACCAATTTTTAACCATTTCAAGGTAAACGGGTGACCATCCGATTTTGCGGTTTTCTTTTTTCGGTTCAGTTTACCTTGTACGAACAAGTTATATAAATATTCAAGCGTTATTCAGGTTGAAATATATACATTTTTCAGGGCAGACTATGAAAAATCAGTATCTGAAAGTCGGTGAGAACAAAAGCACACCAACTCGGAAATTTTTAAACGCTTAACTCTCTGGCATCAAACATGGTGTATCGATTTTAATTTGGTGCTTTACAAAGTCTCTAAGTACTTGTCCTTTGGCACCAAAAACGTTTTTTTTAAACTAACTTCTTCGCCCGCTGTGCAGCTTTAGGTGTTACCTGAACAATTTTTTTTTCCGAGTTGGTGTGTTTTCGAATTCACTGATTCAATTCCGATACGATTCCGCAACAGCGCGATCTGGCGAATCGGCTCCGTGCGGATATTCGCAAATATCGCGGGCATTGCGGCTACACGGTATCGGTGATGAGTAACCATTTCAGTAAGTATTGCGTCACGGCCGCTTTGTCCGCTCCGCTCACGCACTGGCGCTTCGCCGCGTCGTCGCGACGCTACGTCTTGCTCTTGCCGTAGCGTCGCGTCGGCCAGAAACTCACGAAAAAGTGATCCGAGAGGGAGGGGAGGGGGGCTAGATTGGACTTGTCGCAAACCTCAGCTAGAGCAAGTATTGTTTCTTGTAGGAAGTGGCTCAAAAATCTCGACGAGCGCATCGGAAAAGTCAGAATTACACTACTAACTTCACATAGAGTACCTATATTGAGAGAGTATGGCCACTGGGGTTACCACCTCTGATTGGCTCAGCCATCTCAGGCTGAATGGAGCCCTTAGGACCCAAAAATGGCGGACGCCATAAATTAATGTAATGCAAAATGACTCAAAATGTAGTTTTCTTTGCTTATCGTAACGAGAAATTTATTCAAATGCACGATTGAGACATCTTTACATATTTTTAAGGCTAATCGTGTGCAATTTTTGAGAAAAATTATCTTAGATGTAGTAAGGTTGGCAGCAAGTGCGGTTGGTGATAACCGTCAAAAGTTGGCAATGACCCTCCTCCCATCCACAAAAACAAAACAAAGCTCCGCCATTTTTGGGTCCTAAGCCTCTCCATGGGGCCCAGTGGCCATACTCTCTCAATATAGGTACTCTAACTTCACAAGCTGGTAAAGGAATAGGCGTTTTTTAAGGTTCCCGCTTCAACAGCGCAGATGAACATTTCGTTAGAGGAGTTGTCCCACACTTCCACCCAATCCTTGCGCACCAGGATGCGTCACAGTATTGAGCATGGTTGACTCTTCCGCGTGCAAATCGTGAAGAGGCACCATGATCTTTACCAGCGCAAGGAAAATGTAAGTATAAACACGCCGGTTAATAAAATACTGTCTCTTTAGTCGTCACGCGTGTTTTAGAGGGATGTCGTCGGCCATGTTGAATATTGCGTGGCATTCTAGTGTGCAAAGGGTTGGGTGGAGCGACTCTTCTAATAGAATATTCACCTGTGCCGTAGTATCGTTTTTGAAGAGGTAGCTTACAAAAACGCCTCTCTCATGCAGATTGTGAGGCTAGGAGTGTATTTGAGACTTTCTCGATGCGCTCATCGTGATTTTAGAGCCATTTTCTACCAGAAATAACCCTTCTGTTTCCTCTAGCTAAAGTATACAACAGGCTCATTCTTGACACCATTGGCTTAGAACCCTCTGCACCCTTGTTCAGTGTCTCTATTCATTTCTTCCGTCATAGATTGATCCAAGCACCTCTGAAGCGGGGGGGCTTCTCTTTGAAATTTTTTTAAAATTTTTAATTTTTATAATGGAGTTTGAGTCAATGGGACAGTTGCGCTGGTAACAGAATCTTGTTTTGATGCTTGATTCTTGCAGATCAGCTTAAAATAATAAGATCTGTCCCAAAAGCAACTTTCTACGTTGAATATTAACCGAGATATCGTCCTTTGAAAAGTCGAGTTTTTGTCGTCATCCACCGCGGTAGTGCATAAAATGGTATGTACTACCGTGGTGGGTGACGTCATGAATCGAGTTTTTCAAGGCGCGATATCTCGGATAATATTCAACGTAGAAAGCAAAAGTTGCTTTTTAGACGGATATTATTTTTAGTTGATCTGCGAGAATAAAGCATCAAAACACAATTCTGAGATCAGTGCAACTGACCCATTTTGTCATGAATAATTCCCTGGTGTAAGCGTTTTTCTTCCATCCGTTCCCTCCTGCTTCCTTTCCTTCTTCCCTTTTTCCCTTCCATTTTTTAGTCGAACGGGAGGGGCGCGCCCCCTACGCCCCTCCTCCCTCGGTTCCGCCTATGCCTTCCGTTTGCAAATCGACGGTGAAACTACCAAACCACGTATCTCGGTTTGCGACGTCGCAGACTTCCTGTCATACTTTATTTTTTAAATAAAAAACTACTTAACGTCCAGTTTTGAAAATTTCTGTGATTTTTCCTCTTCGTGCGGAGAAAATTCTGTGAAAATTTCAAGGAATGATATTGATTTGGTCTACTTCAAAAAAAATAAAATGCGATTTTTAAACACCGCAAACGAGATACGTGGTTTGGTAGTTTCACCGTCGAAATATAGCGAGTCTGTTCTACAGCGGATGCGTTCTGTGTGTTGCAGGGCGAGAGATGTTCGAGAACCCGCCGCACATCTACGCGCTGGCGGACGCGGCGCATCGCGGGATGAAGCAGCGGGGCCGCGACGCCTGCATCGTCATCTGCGGCGAGTCCGGCAGCGGCAAGACCGAAGCCAGCAAGATCATCATGAAGTACATCGCCGCAGTCACCAACATCACCGGTCGCTCCGAGATAGAAAGGTAAGAGTCCGTCGTGTCGGGACCGGGAAAATCCGGGAGCCATCAGGGAATGAAAATTTCAGGAACACTGGAAAAATCACATTGGATCTAGAGTCCAGACTCTTGAAAACATTGACAAGAAAAAGGACTCTTGATTCAATCAGATTTAAGCTTAAATCAAAAGGAAATCCGCTCAAATTAAGAGGCTTGGTTCTTGATTTAAGCTTAAATCTGATTGAATCAAGAGTATTTTTTCTTGTCGATGTTTTTAAGAGTCTTGACTCTAGATCCAATGTGTTTTTTTTCCAGTGAATATTCAGGGAAAAATCAGAGAACCTGTTCCAGAAACCGGGGTTCTCTTCTTCCACCGTTACTAACGGGGTGTCTACCGGTCCTCAAAAGTCCCCGATGTCCCCGATTTTGGAAGGGTGTCCCCGATATCCCCGAAAGTCCCCAATTTTCTTGTTCAGGACCCCAAAAAATGACAAAAACCGTCCTAAATGTCGAACACAGTGCGGTCAGCGTAAAACGCATAGCGCCTACAAGACTGTATGAATACTTCACGCATTGCGTCAAACGAAGTGCGGTCAGCAGCGGTCAGCGTGAAACGCATAACGCCTACAAGACTGTAGGAATACTTCACGCATCGTGCCCAACACAGTGCGGTCAACGCGGCGCGGCTGCGGAAGTTAAAATTATTAAACCACATTTATGTTTGTTCTTTCATAATTTTTTCGTTCATTTCTTAGTAATGGAAGGCCTTGTCCACCTAGTGATGAGTTTACGGAACATAACTTTCGCTCAATGTTCCGTGAAATTTTGCAAGTGTTGACAGGGCTTTCGCAATAAATGTGTCCAACACGAGTAAACGCGTCTTATGCACACCCCTCCCACCTCCGGAACTTTCACTTAATGGTTTTTATTTATGTTTCAAAACGAACGAGAAGGGGGCGGCAAAATACAGGCGGCCCATGGGCGGCAAGTAGGTAAATCCGGCCCTGCTTAGCACGGCAGCTCTCAACTTTTTTAACCCAAGAATTTTTCACCCACGGATACTCACTCAACCCTTTCGACCTACATGTTTCTTTTTACCCGCAAGCATTTCCATCACGTTGCAAGTTGCAAAAGTTAGAATGGAGCACCGCTCTGGCGGTCATATCTGATTAATTGGAAATCGGAGTAGAAATCAAGTTCACCTTCAACTGGACGGATGCAATTTGAGCGACTCAGGAGTTGACAGTGGTTTCACGCATCTTAGTTTAGCTCGATACCCAAGGACGAGTGACTGAAACCGGAGTAGAAATCAAGTTCGCCTTCAACTGGACGGATGCAATTTGAGCGACTCAGGAGTTGACATAGTGGTTTCACGCATCTTAGTTTAGCGCGGTGTCCAAAAACGACTGACTTTTGACGTAATCTTCGTGTTTTTAATGACTACCGCGGCGAAGCATCCAATAACTGTCACTCGATTCTCCCTACCAGAAAATATTTTGATAATGGCATCGAGAAAAGTTGTGAAAGTTAGAATTGAGCACCTTTCTCGCGTTACGCTTGAATAACTGGGAATCGGAGTTAAAAATCAAGTTTGCCTTCAATTCTACCTCCCCTACGACTTCCACGCCGTCGTGCTAAGGAAAAACGCCGTATGAACCTTCAGGCGTTGCCAAATTTCCTTCGATAAAACGCGAATTTCCTGGTAAATTTATGAATATTTTTCCAATTTATTTTCTCCCAATGGTTCAGTTGATTTAGTTCGCAATTTCACCTCAATATTCTGAAAGTATGAAGAAAGAATATTCACGACTCTCCCAAAAAAATAAACATTTTATCTAAAGAAATTTGGCATCTCTCGAATATTCATATGGCAATCTTCCTTAACACGGCAGCACGGGTAGTGTGAAATACATTCAGGTGAAAACTTCTTTGCAAAAAGTCATGCATACAAATCTGCATGGGGGGTTTAAATGATGTGGGTCAAGAGTTGTGGGTGAAAAGATCTGGGTGAATTATACCGTGGGTGACGAGTCATGGAATTTTTTACCTCACATGATGTCTATTATCAGCAAAAATCAGAAAAAATCAGGAAAATCGGTAATGGATCAGAAAATTCTAAGTTTTTCAAGCATTTTTCAAGTATTTGATTTATTTTTAAACATTTTGGTTTTTTTAATCAAACGGTTGCTAATTTCATTTGCGCAAAAAATCAGGAAATCTTGTCTAAAATATCAGGAAACTCAAAAATTAAATTTTAGTGAACACCCTGCCTCAGTGTTTTACTGAAAATCGATGAAAGTAAAATGCTGATTTTAGTTTGTGTTTGTGGCAAGGAAATTTTAATTCCTCCTTGCCCCTAAAATTTATGTTATTGCACTTGAGCTGCCATTATTGACCTCTTCGTGATATTCATATTTGAATATTCAAATCATCATAATAATAGAGAGGCTTTCATTGACCAGATATAAACATCAGGAACGTTTCTGGAATTGAGGATTTTCTAACTTTCTCAAGTTAGATGATCGTATTTTCTCATGCAATAAAACATTTATTCATTAATTTACTTTTACATCATATGATTAACTCATTTTATAATCCCTGCTGTATTTTTCTTATTCCATTTCAGGGTGAAAAACATTCTTATTCAGTCAAATGCAATTTTAGAGGCTTTTGGAAATGCTCAAACGAATAGGAACGATAACTCTTCTAGGTTTGGAAAGTATATGGATATTCACTTTGACTTTAAAGGCGATCCAATCGGTGGAAATGTTAGCAACTATTTATTAGAGAAATCCCGTGTCATCCATCAACAACCTGGGGAGAGAAATTTTCACTCTTTTTACCAGGTAAGCAACATTTTGTTTTAATATACTAAATATAATTGAGCAATGGAAATGTTGCATGTGTGAGGAATTTGCAATTTGATTATTGATCCTTTTGTAAAAGTTTGCAAGAAACACAATGGTGCCACTGGTTTTCTCTGAAATCAACTCCCAAACTCAAAGAAAGCCCTCAAGTTGAGGCCAAAGTGGAGGGGATATCCAACACTATCCTGAGAGTTCACCTCTGCATCAAGACAAACTCTCCATGCAAAGATAGGGAGCAAATACATTAGCAGGGTTGCCGTGTTTTCGGTTTTAGAGTCCCCAAATAAAGTGGCAGCCCTGTCTTTATGTAGAGGTGAACTCTCAGGATAGCGTTGGATATCCCCTCTATTTTTGCCTCGACTTGAGAGCTTTTTTTGAGCTTAGAAGATGATTTCAGAGAAAAGCAGTGGCACCATTGTGTTTCTCGCAAACTTTTACATAAGAATCTACAGTCAAATCGCAAATTCCACACTTACAACATCTCCATTGATAAAGCAGTTTGACAGTTACATCTACAAGAACTGGATATGTTTCTTAAAACTGTTTTATCAATTTTACAGTTGAAGTATCCAAAAATTAGGGCAAAAATATGGCAAATGAACATTGTGTTGTTTTAATAATGGTATAAACCTGCGGAAGGGCCTCTTCTATATCTCTGCTTTTACATTTGTGTATTTTATTTTCATAAGAACCGCAATTTTTTCAAAGCAAGTATCGGGTACATATAGATTGTTGATTCTTTTTTCCCGTAAAATAGTCCAACTGAAACTCAAAAAGGTCATGAATTAAAATGAGTAAATAAGTCTGATTTGTATCCTAAAAGTGTTTTATCTACATCAATTGTCACTTGATGCATGAGCTTGGCAATTTCTAATTGCATTGCTACAAATTCTTGACTTCAAATCTCTTATCTCTTTTGCCATTTTGAGTTATCTTATCAGGAATATTTGCCAACCCGCAAGTGTGCAGATTTTGCCAGATGTTTACTTTCCATTTGTGATAGTTAGTCATGGCATATCTCCTCCATTTAACTCGTAGGAAGTCTTCTTTTTTGTCTCTCCTGAACAAACTCTTTTTATTTTCTGAACACCCATCTTAATTTACCTAAAAACCAAATTTAGCCGGAACCTAATGCGTTTTTGAGATGTGGAACTCAGGCTAGGTACCTGGTACCTCTGGTCATTTCTTGTGGCACTGTTAAATGTTAACTGTATGAAAAATCGTGATCAGTAACACCAAATTAGAATGTCCCCTGGCCTGGAAAAATTCCTTATTTTTAAATGGGTTTGGAATTACAAAGAAAGTACAGTTGTCAAAGGTTTTGGCAAAATCTAACCGAATTTTTTGGAAAAAATATAACTACAAACTGCAATATCCTTCTTTATTTTTCTTATTTGGACGTATTTAAATCAATGGGAACTAAATCCATTCTGACATGAGTTCTGAGATCCATAAGAGTATATGCATGACAGGGCTCATGTCAAGATAGATATAGTTCCTTTTTATGTAAATGCGTTCATTTTACAATACTGCCATGCTTAAGGAAAACGCTACATGAACATTCGAGAGTTGCCAAATTTCTTTCGATAAAATGTTTATTTTTGAGAAAAGCTGTGAATATTTTTTCTTAAAATTTTCAAAAACTTTAGGTGAAAGTGCAAATAAAATTATCTGAAAAATTGGAAGAAAAATATTTACAGATTTTCACGGAAATCCGTGATACATCAAAGAATATTTGGCAAGGCCTGTAGGTTTATACAGCGGTTCTCTTACCACAGCAGGATAGTCCAGGATGATGGTTGTTTTGGATTGTGTTGAAAGGTATAAGACTCAAAAGTTATAGTCACAAGTTAAATCTTTTCAACAACCCTGCATGTCAGGGAATTTTACTAAAATGTGTCTGGGAAAGAAGGGGATTTCATCATCTTAACCTCCCTCCCTCCCCTCCCCCCAGAACTTTGAAGATGCTTTGAAGGGAAAAGCTCAGAAATACATTTCCTATGCATATTGCGCTGTAAGGATTAAATTTCAAACTTTGCCCATGGACATATTGTGATCTCTGAGCGTTCCGCAATCATATTTTTTTTCTGGCCCATCTTTATTATTAAAATAACGTAAAAATCCTGTTTCAAAACGATACTTTCATTTTACCTTCTTTCGTTCTTCAGGTTCTTGTAGCGTGTCAAGATGTTGATCTGCGTAAATTAGAGTTAGGCTTGAAACCAGATCCAAAGCATTATTTGTACACTAAGGGCAACCCTGGTGGACCAACCAGCAGTGATCGCTCAAATTACTCTGCCATGATAGCTGCATGCCGCACCTTAGGTTTTTCACAAGAAGAAATCCACACCTTGCTCCAAGTGGTCGGGGCTGTTCTGCATTTGGTAAGTATTCTGAAACCATCCATTAATTGCCAGGAAAATTTGAAACCAGCTCACCATCCTGAGACTCACTTTGAATTAATTTTTTTTAGCTAGTTTTCCTTTGATTATTGTAAAAATAAATTGGACCAAATCAATTATAATGAAGACTCATACAGCCTTATTGAAAAGTTTGTGAATATGTTTTAATTCCTCCTTCCCCATTTGCAAGTTTTTGAAAGAAAGGGATTAGTGAGCTACGTCTTACAATTCATTAAAAGTCCCTAAACAGTGTAATTCAGAAACTAATTCCAAAAAACAGAAATCTGTAGTAGGCTTTTGAGCGTCTGTTTTTTGATCAGTTTGTGTTAAATTGTTTGTACCATTGACAAGTAAATCTCTATTTTGGGTTAATCTTCAGGAAGGCCCCTTTTCTTGTAGACTGTCACATTTTGAAAAATCGCTGTTTGGAATCCCATGAAAAGAAGCCAAGTTGGATGGTAATGCAATGATGCATCAATCATTTACTATATTCATTTTTTCTTTTCTAGGGCAATATCAACTTTATAATGAATGAAGATATGATAAACATCAAGGACAACTCATCCTTAAGACACACGGCCAAACTACTCAAAGTCGAAGAGGGTGCTCTGAAGACAGCTTTAACGGAAAGAGTTATAGCAGCTCGAGGGGAAGTCATGCAAAAAATGCACAACGTTTCAGAAGCGGAGTACGGGCGGGATGCACTCGCCAAAGCAATTTATGATCGCCTTTTCACGTGGATCGTACAGAAAATTAATGCTGCTCTTGATCCCGACCAAGGCCAAGCAAGGAGGTATCGAGGCACTCTCATTGGTGTTCTTGATATCTACGGATTTGAAGTTTTTGATGCCAATAGCTTTGAACAGTTGTGTATCAACTACTGCAATGAGAAGCTCCAGCAACTGTTCATTGAACTTGTTTTGAAGCAGGAGCAAGAAGAATATAGGAAAGAAGGTAAGAATCGGTCAATAAATCTAGGGCATCGAAAGAATTTCATCTGTAAATTTTAATAGAGGGTTGGGATGATTCTGTGCTTAATATAAGCCTCTATTTATCTGTTTCATTGATAATCTCATTCTGTGAATCATAAATGAATAGGAGTCCAAAAGTACTTGGCAAGCAAATATCTAAAAAAAAAAAAGACGAAGTATCTAGTACCAACAACAGAAATTTATACAGTATATTTGCAATATATACTAGGTAAGTAAGTAAGGAAGGACTGGACTGACTGGCTGAGGCGCCGTTTAGAGGCCAAGGCAATGAGCATATCTGCCATTTTGCACCGTGACGTTGGAATGCTCCTGAACTAAATCTCATGATACTTTTTACATTTTTCTGTAAGGCTCAGCAGCTGTCTGATAAGCCAACAATAGATCGTATAAACTACCAAGGCAGATGCTACAGAGCACGGCTTTTCGGAGCACAGCCATGCCTCCACTGAGATTGATCCTTTTGTTTCAATGCCTCACAAACTCTGAATGTATTGTTGTTACACAGTTTTTTTTTTCTTTTTTCTTTTTCTCAGGGATTGAGTGGGAGAACATTGATTTCTTCAATAATCAGGTGATTTGTGAACTTGTTGAAAAACCGCACCAAGGTATTTTTGCAATCATGGATGAAGCTTGTTTGAACGTCGGCAAAGTTACGGACGAAATGCTTCTGGAAGCCATGGATCAGAAACTAGCCTCACACCAGCATTACCATAGCAGGATGACCAAGGCGTCTGACAAACAGTTAGCCCATAAAACACAGTTTAAAATCCGACACTATGCCGGCGATGTCATCTACAACATCCATGGATTTTTAGAGAAGAATCGGGACACCCTCTTTCAAGATTTCAAGCGTTTATTATATTCCTCCTCTAGTCGTGTTATTTCCGGTATGTGGCCGGAAGGTGCCATGGATATTACAAAAACAACGAAACGACCTCTCACTGCAGGCACTCTCTTCAAAAACTCGATGATAGAGTTGGTGAAAGCCCTGGCCAGCAAAGAGCCTCATTATGTCCGATGTATAAAACCTAATGAAGCTAAATCACCAACAGTTTTTGACGAGGAGCGTGTTGAGCATCAGGTTCGATACTTGGGTCTGCTGGAAAATGTACGAGTTCGAAGAGCAGGTTTTGCACATAGGCAGCCATATGACAGATTTCTGAAAAGGTGAGCTTAGTTTTTTTATTTATGTGTCCTAATTAATGGTAAGTATGAGCTCCTAGGTTTCATCTGACCCTTGAAATTTCAAAGTTTTCAAACATTATGTTGCAGAAAAAATCAATTCCACAATTTCATGAAAGACTCTTGAAGATATTGCCTTATGAGGGTGCTCCTTTGGAAAAATTTTGAATTAGTTTTCACTCAAAAGTCAATAAAAGGTCGTCAAAAAGAGCACGAAAACCAAATATTTAGGGAAAAAGTGATACCTAAAAAATACATTCAACCGACATCCAAATAAATGATAACTTTGGCTTTTTTTAGTTATTCCTTAGATCTCCATTTTCATTCATTCGATGCAACTAGATATGCCTTTGAGTCTAAGCAAGGATCCAATACAGAAAAATATTTCTACAGGAGCAATGTCATTGATTCACAAAATGTCCCCAAAGCATTGACCAACAACACAATTTTATACCAATTTTTTTAATTATAGGTACAAAATGGTTTCCGAGTTCACTTGGCCTAACTTCAGGGGAGACTCTGACAAAGAAGGTGTACGGGTTCTAATTGATGAGCAAGGATTCTCAAATGATGTCAAGTATGGAAAAACCAAAATTTTCATCAAGTCACCATCAACGCTATTTGCACTGGAAAACATGCGAGCTGAATTGATCCCTGGAATTGTAACGCTCCTGCAGAAACAGTGGCGAGGTGCAATATGCAGACAACGATACAAGAAAATGAAAGCTGCCAAATTCATCATGTTATACTATAAGAAATATAAACAGCGAATGTATATAACAGCTCTCAGTCAAACTTTCAAGCATGCCAAAAACATGCGAGACCATGGGAAGTCGCTCTCTTGGCCAGAACCCAACTTTGCCGTAGTCCATGTGGTCAGTAAACTGTATGCAATGTACAGAAGATGGTGGGCGTACATGCTTCTGAAACCGTATCCACGCCATGAGTGGTCACAATTAAGGATGAAGGTATGCATGATATAATCTAACTTAATCGGAGATGTACCGTAAAAGTACTGATTTTTTGCCAGCTTGTTTTAGTAAACACCCTGGAATGTTTACAGGAAAAAAAATACCTTGAAAGGTCGAAATTGAAACATTAGTGTTATAACTCAGAAAAATGTTTTAAAATATTTTGACATGTGAAGACCCAATAATTTCAAACCAAGCAGGAACCATGCAAATTTGATGTTCATGGTTCATATGTTTTTCATGTTGTGGTTTTGAAGAGAAGCTTCTCAAACCTACGATTTTTTGGGACCCTAATTTTCCGATAAAAGTTCAACTTTACATTCCTTTTTCAGGGGTGCAGTAAATGCTGGATCTCATGATCCGAGATTCATAACAAATGTGAAGTGAATCTTAGGTTGTGAGGCAATACTGAAAAATGATGACTCTGTCTTATTTTTTCTTTCTTTCCCTGAATGTCTAAGAAAAGCATTACGAATCACTCCTTATATCATAGAATAAATGCTTTAAAACTTAGCACTTGGCCGTGAGTTAAAGTTGCAAATATGAATGTGAGGCAAAAATATCAGAGTTACGCAAATGGTTGGTGCTTTGGAACTTTCTGCACTCCTGCTCTCTTTGCGCAAAATACTCTCAGTCTATTCTTTGGGATCCTGTAGCTATCTATAGAGGAATTCTTCTGGAGCTATCTCTTTGTTCAATGAAATCATACATTTTTTTTTCGAATTTAGATGTCAGCTGCTATTGCTCTGAAAGGAAAACGATCATCATGGGGCGGAAATCGGAGTTGGCAGGGAGATTATCTTGGATCATCATTGGAAAACCCGCATCACACAGCATACAAAACAGGAGTCCAGAACATCAAGAATCAGCATGAATTTAGTGAGGTATGTAAGGCTCCTGCGAAAAGAGCTGACAACAGCAAACATTTTACTTTCTTACTTTTTTCGAATTGGATTAGGAACGTCAAAAAGCATCAGCCTCATTTTCCATTGTATCATTTTTGGGTCATATTTTACTGTTTTTTAAGGATATTAATCATTGTCATTGTGTGACACTTCATGTGATTTTTCCATTTCTTTTCAAGAACATACTAGGAAAATTCACATAGAAACGTGAGGAAATACTTTCCTGAAATAATTAAATTTGTCCAAAACTATTGGAATATTGCAGAAGAGATAAATTTATTTCTGTTCTTACCACCACAATGGCCATTATTCATGAGAAATAAGGTGCTTGTTCTATAAAAAATCACAAATTTTCAGATTATTGAGTCAAAATAATCTGTGTTTGGGCTTTGCATTGAAACTTGGTTCATAAACGTGAAGAATACGGTGAATGTGTCACAATTCTTTATTTTCCTAGCCTTTTACGATGCATCTGAGTAATTGTTATTTCAACTTTTGAGAACATTTTTGGGATGTATCAGCTTCAGGAAGGTGTAAGTAAAGTAAATGAAAAGAGCTCATTTTTAAAAGGGCCAACATAAAAGATGCGAAGGCTCACACCAATTTCAGTACTGCAAATAACAAAATGTCTGTGAAGCTTCAAGATGGTACCAATCTTTTTAACTGCTAGAAAAATAAAAACTGGGATCCTGTGTTGAAATCACTTATGTTTTAATATGAATGGAGGATCCAGGTTTTGATTTATTTTACTTTTATTTACCGCCAGGCATTTTTTTGTTTATTTTGTTTAGTCTGTATTTTTTCATCCAAAAAAAAAAAAAAAAAAAAAAAAAAATAATCATTTTTCATCAAAATGATTTAAAGATTTGAATTTTTGATTTTTTTTTTATTATTTTAGTGTCCAATTACATTTATTGTATGCAGACGGCAAAACTCAAACCACGTACCTTGTTGGTGATGTTTCAAAATCTCCGTTTCCATTCCATTTTTTGAAGGAGAATGACTCAACTTGATTGCTCGAATTTTTGACAGAATACTCTTATCACAGAGAAGAAAAATCAGGGAACATTTCAAGACTTGATGTTAAGTGGTTTCCCTTCTGAAGAATAAACTGTGGCAAAAAGTCTGCAATGTTGCAAACCAAGATATGTGGTTTGAAAATTTCACTGTCGATATGTTTCTTTGCCATTTGTTATTATTTCCATCTCCAGCGGGTTGATTGTTGAAATTGATGCACAAAGCAGACGTAGGGAGTATGGAGTGATCCTATTGGTTGAAATGGTTGGTTCCTTTAGACGAAGAGAGGAAATGATGAACTAACTATAGGGTCTCTTGTGGGTTGCCGTTAGTTACTCTATTATCTACCTGCTTTGTCCATTGTAATCCGCTTCAACCGATAGGATCCTTCCATGTCCCTTTTGTCTTCCTTGTCTATAAATTTCAACAGTCAGCCTGCAGGGCTTCATTAACGAGAAATCAACCGAAGTATTTGCCTTGGGGTAGAAAATTTCGACAGATTTAAAAAATGGTGACCTTGTTTTTTCATAATTGTTCAGTTCAAGGCAAAGAGAAATACTGAAATCCCAAAATCGGGAAGAAAAAAAAGTTAGGGCATTACTTTTGAAACTTTGGCATTACCTTGGGATGGCAAAATTGTACGTCAGGCCTTGTTTACCTGTATCTCTATCTAAAGGGTCGTTATGAAAGTAAATTTCGTCTGATTTCAGGTTCTCTTTTCCTCATTCATTCGAAAAACAAACAAATTCAACAAATGTGCTGACCGAGCACTTTTGGTCACTGATGTTTATATCTACAAATTGGATACTCAAAAATTCAAACCAATGAGGAAAATGATGATTCAAGAGGTAGATTTTTCCATCTAATAATTTTTATTTTATTTATTAGTTTTACGTAGCATACTTAAAATTTAGCAAAATGAAAAACTTACTTCAAGCCTTTAATATTTTACCGCAACATTTTCTTGGAAAGAGAAAGAATTCTATTCACTTTTTCATAGCACTCTGATTGACGTAAGTTTTGTTTGTCTATGTTTTAGAAAGAGTCAAACATTTTCTTGGGAGTAATTAAATTTTGTCAGACCTTAGAAAGTAACAAATCGTGTGAAATATTTTTTAAAAACAGTCATGTGAGAAGGTTTTGAGAATAAATTTTGAAAAAATGACCACTGCAACTTAACTCGCACCAAAAAATGGAAGTAAATACATATTTAAAAAAAAGTAGGAAATCTGAATCTTGGTTTAAGAAAATGTTTTTGATAATATTTTGTAATAATTTCATAAAATTCATCAAATACAAGACTTTCATGTGCGATTCTATTTTCAGTTCTTTTGTTCTTTTCCTGATAAAAGTCTGCAGTTTCTCCGGAGAGTACTTTTTCCTCCCTTTGTCTATAAATTGCTGTAAAGTTGCAAACTTATAACTGAATTAGCACAAAAATTGCAAAAAATTGATGAGTGATCTTTAATCGTATACAAAGTGAAATCTACCAGCTTTATTTATTTGCTCTTACAATGGTTGCCAACAAGACTTTTAGGACACCCTGAAAGTTAAGGTCTACCTCTACCGTTAGGTCTACTGTAAGGCAAAATTGAAGACTGCAACAAGTAAAGGTACATATTTAATCTTACCCTATTGTCAAAAATCACGTTTGCTCAGACTTATTCAATATGTTACATCAAATTTCGGTTCAACCACATCTAGAGTCTTGAAAAAGTCACTTTAAGCAAACAATTCATTATTTGCAGAATGTGATAAAATTAAGAGCGCTGTGCAAAAAGCTATTTTGTAGTATTTCGCAAAAAGCTGTTATGTAGTATTTCACAAAATTCTTTGCTGAAATGTGCATTATCTTCAATTTCAGATCACTGGATTGAGCGTTAGTCCTGGTGAAGATCAACTGTTAGTCATTCATAGCAATAAGGGAAATGATTTAGTAGTCACTTTACAAACGTCGGAAGACCGGGTAGGCGAATTAGTCGGTGTTCTCTCAACTCAATTCATTAAGTAAGTCACATATTTTGTTCTTCATTATCTCCTTTCCTATCTGATATTAGTATGTATCGATATTTTATCTATCCACAAGAAACCTTTCAAAATTAATGCTTTCCATGGTCTCACTTCTTGTCAAAATAAGATGACCTATTGCTCAAACTTGCGAGTTTCTGAACTGCTCTCAATGAACCACCGGAATTAGTGAGTATTTAAACATTCTGCTGCATGCATCTTAACAAAAATTTCATGTAGAATAGGATTTGCACAAAAATTAAAACAATTCCTAACTGAGATTTAGTTTTTAACTTTACGTTGGTTTTGGAAATTTTGAACAATAGTCTACTTAAATCAAATCGTCTATTGTAACAGTCTTGGCAGGCTCTTGAATCAACCAGTGTTCCTTCCCCGCCCTATGCGGTCTAAGTGTTACCAGCGTACAATGGAGTTGAAGCACTGAAATTGTGGCTCCATATTTTCATACCTCAGAGATTGTTACAGTGACGTTTAGTGCGCGATTTGACTTGTGTAGACTTTTGTTTTGACATGAGCGGGAGTTTGGAACTTATTCATCCAAAACCAAAATATGTCAGTTAGGGGTTAATTTCAGTAACTTTTGTTGTGTGAAAACTGTGAAAAGTGTTTTATGTGAAATTTTGACAAGTCAACATGTATCAGAATGCTTAAATTTGCACCATGTCTAGTGGTCTATTGGGCTTAACTAAACTTTGAAAAGAAGATATGTATAATTTCGCTCGGTTTTTAAACCTATCCAGTGAAAGGCCACTCACTTTCTTTTGCTGCTAAATTTACTTATATCCAATTTTGCTGGGTTCTAGGTTGAGGAGAAGTGATTTACCGGTCAATGTTGCCAACAAACTGTGTTGTATGCTAGGAAACAAAAGTAGAGAATTGAGGGTCGAAGTCCGGCCTGGGACGCAACTACCCAGTTTCTGCAAGGAGAACAACGCAATTGTTTACGTGTTACCACCCACTTTTTCCATCAACCAAACCGCACCCACACCAATCAAAGTCTAAGTTTGTTATTGCTGTCGAATGGTCTCATTTTTGTGTTCCCCGGGTTTCTCCAGACTTCGGTGACGAGGATGCTCCGAGACATCTTTCTTCTTGATAATGTTTTAGTGTTAAAATTTTTCCCAGACTCTTTAATCGTGTAAACGATTCTACATGTTTCAATGGCTTTAAGGTCTTTGTTGAGTCTCATGTTGTAGTGGTATAATTTTTGTTTCAAAGGTTGACTGAGAAGCATCACATCTCATCTTTTTTTACTTATTTTTTATTTTACGACTCCTAAAACGTTTTAAAAGAAATGCATAGTTATTGCTCCATTTTCAAGGCTTGCAATAGACTCTAAGACATTCTTCATTACTCAAGTATTGAAAATGTCAAAATATCTCAGTTTTTAAGTATGTACTTGTATTTTCAAAACGGTTCAATTAAATGTTTCATATCCCCCCCAGTTGCCTGTATGATATTTATCTTCCGCGCAAGAGATGATCACGACCATTTTTTGAAAAAACCATTGTTGACTTGTAAGAGATCTGGAGAAAGATTTACCTCCCTCGATATGGTTTTGTAAAGAAAGCCTCGAAAATCTACTTTAAGAGAATTTAGTGGAGAATAATCAGTATATCCTAAAATTTTCCATTTGTAATGGTGTAACAATTTTTTATTTTATTTTCATTTGTGCGTTTGATTTTGTAAATTGAATTTTTTTCAGTTTATGAAGTATAGAACTCCATGTTTTTGTGATACAAATTTTATTCGTTGAATGTTATATTTCCCATTGAGAAATTTTTAATTGTTTGAAATATTTGTGCATTGGTTGGTAATTTTATTAATTAATTTATTTATTTTCTTCTTTGTGCTGTTTTATTATTCAGATTTTGGTAAGAAAAACTTTTTTTTTTATATTTCGCTCGGCATCTGCAATTCTGCATGGAGGTCCAACCTTAATAGATTAAAATAAGATTTTTTTAAAAAATTTTCCCAGTCTCCGTCCATTTGTTTTCTTCTTTTCTTTTTTTTACTCTTTTTTTCTTTAGAGAGTACTTAAATTATTACTTTATCTCTTTGTTTTAACAACCAGATGTCTAACATTAGAATACAATTTTTACTCGTTTCCTATAAACTCAGCTCTGAACAATGTAAAATATAACCGAGAACACTGCCGGAAGAAGTGTGTTTATCTTTAATTTATAATATTGTAAATGTCGTTTTTTGGGGAGCTTCCTCAATTAAGGCTGTTAAATCTGAAAATAAGTCTAAGTGGAGGGTGTCTAGCAACCAAGAGTTATCAGGGTATTTCTTGAGGATCAGGAACAACCAGAAAAGTCCTCTAGATTTTGCAATGAAGTCGCTGATCAGGGAAGTTCACTTTTAAAAATACCTTATTTCTGCTGTCGTGATCACGGAAAATCTTATTTTGTAGAGAATCTTTCCTCGTTCCTCAGAAATCACAGATAATCTGAGAATTTTTACTTTTTTATTGAGATCAACATGAAACCTACTCAGCGAATACTACCACCTCTTGAAGTTTTTAATATCATGGCTTTCAATTAGTAATTTTAATTTTATTTGAGTTTTCTATATTAAAAACCTTGCTTTGCAAGCTCAAGGAGCTTGATGTTTTACAAACGATACCTCACAGATTTTTTTGGTCGTGTCAAATTAAGAATAAATGAATTTTAGTTTATTTTGTAAAAAAATCCTGGAAGTTTTTTCATTTTGATAGCAAGCATTGTCTGCTATTGAAACTTGCAATGAAATGTACCTACTCGGTTATTTCAATTTTTATCAAGTGTTCATTTTATTTGAATGAATTCTGGAATGTTTTTCTGTCTTTGTAAAATGATTTCTGATTACCCTTTGATTCAAAATCCTTGTAATGGAGAAATCATGAAACCAACAATACCAGAATTACTTTTAACTAATTATTGCTATGTACTTATATGTTACAAATTTCTTTTGGTTTACTAGGTTGTTTGTTCTCCTTCCAAGTTTTTCTTAAAAGTTTTTTCCTCTAAGTAGAAAAGAAAATTGAATGAAATGAGCCTAACCTATTGAGAATTTTACCAGGTTGGATGTTTACTTTTGCTGTAGGAAATAAAAAAGTGTGTTGTTGGATTGTAGGTAAAATCACAGATATTTTTTTTTTTACTGCTTAAAGAAATTGCTTTGTCGTCGATCTAAACATTTCTTAACCATCTGTGACTGTCCAAGAGATTAGATAGAGACATGAAGTAAGGTGTTTAAAGTCTGCAGGTGCCTTAGAAACTCAAAGTTTTCCAACAGTGATATTATGAGGTTGTGCAACAAACATTATTTAACAAACTTCTTTGAAGCAGCATATAGATTCTTGATATACCTGGCAAGACTCTTGTCCTATACGAATAAAATTATATTCTGTCATAGAGCAGAAGATTTTTTGTAAATTTTTTGCTGCTATTTTAACAACGAAAAAATATTTTTTTTCATTTAAAATGTCTGTCAGTCTATTTAAGGATAAAAATTTTACCCCATTTTTGCAATTGCCTTGCATCCATTTATACCACAGTTGCTCAATCTTTTTTACCCCTCTTTTTTGTGCGTCATTGATTTTGCCAGAAGTGCATGCCTAGCATTTATTTTTCGATATTTAAGGCCAAACTGAACTAGATCCTTAAAAATGTTTAAGTTTTAATTATGTGTAAAGAAATATGTAGGTTGAATCATTTGTTCCACAATAATATTTCTCTCCATAATGCAATATTTTGCTGAAAATCTTGACCGAAAAGATTATGCATCAGGATGCCTCTGAAGGTACAGAAGATGCTCAATTGTTTTTTTAAAAAAATGCATGATTTTTCTTGACTTTCTTTTATTAGACCTTATGATCGTTTGCTTTCATTTGGTAATATGCTTATAAAATATTTCTGCAATGAAGTCTGTTTTTTTGCTCTAGGTCCATACGTTTAAATTTACAATAATTATATTCTTCATCAGTAGGTGTTTCATAGCCAGCCAACATTTATCCAGTAAAGACACTGATTGCCACACTGTTTATGTCAGACCACTGAGCATTGGCGCAGCTAAAAAACCTCTCATGGCTCCTCTGTTCATTGCATCAGTCCACATTCATATACTGTTGTGTAAAATGCAAGCTAAAACTTCGAGCTGCAATATTTTTTCACCCAGATTTTTGTATTTGAATTTGCTTGGAGATCACGGAAAAAAAAAAGTTGCTTAAGTGACAGCCTGGATGTTAAAAATCTGTACGAAACTTTTTGAATGTTATTATGGACACTTCGGCTGTTAATGGAACATCCTAGTTATGCTGAATTAACAATCGCAACTTTCATATGAACATTTAAGAGTTGTTGCACAGATATTTAACATCTGGGATGTTACTTCAGCAACTTTTTTTTGTGGATATTTGTAAAAGTAAACCACTTTGATCTCATGAGATAAACTAGCAAAGATTGCACTGCCATCAATATCTTCAACTACAACAGGTTTTCAGACTGTTTTGACCAAACAATGTATAATCAGTGAATTAATCAACATCAAATTTTCATATCTAAATTGTAATTTTTCAAAATTTCCATGCACACTTAAATTTATAAGGAGAAAAAAAATTATAATTTGGCTTATTTTCTCTGATCACTGTTCCTTGATCATCCTGTGAAAAGTTCAATTCAAAATGTCAGCTCTTTTCCTTATGAAAAATGAGGTATGGGAGGAAACTTCATACTTTCGCAATTTACTTCACTTTTGTGCTATTCAAATTTGAAATCTGGCGTTTTATTTGTGGCTGTCATAATGAATGGTGCTGCAAAAATGAATCCCAAAACCGTATAAATTAGTTCAAAAGTATGGAAGGTTCATTTCCAAGATTAATCTTTTGAACCACTGCTACTAAGCATAAAATTTTTCCTGAGTGGTTTTTTCTTCTCATGAAATGGATTGTCTCCATTCTAATTTTTCTAAATCTTGTTCGGGTCTATTGCATTTAAAGTTTGAATAGTTTAAGACTTAGAAAATTATTACTGTACGTTTGATCAATTAAAGTATTAATTGGATCTTTCTACTCTCTTTCAAAAAATTTGAAAACTTAGCATTCAGTGACTGGTTTCTCTTATTCTTTTGACTATTTTGGAAGTTATGGCAGCATTTAATTAAGTTTCTAGGGTTGAACAAACATTTTTTCTTTTAAAGTTTAAGCTTGCTCTTTTTTCTCATCAATTCACTTTACTTAAATACCTATTTTGTTTTGTTTTATTCGTTATTTCAGCAAAATGTTTTATTTTTATATACTTTTTGCGCTTTTTAGTATGAGAAGTTGAACTTAACTAAAACTTGAACTATGAAAAGTATCAACGATACATTTTAAATACTTTTATATCTTTATTTTTTTATTTGCTAATTGATTAATTTGTATTGATTGTTGTACCATAAATAATCGCTAAGATGCTTTGAATAAATTGATTGAAATTTTAAGTATCTGTTTTCTGTTTCTTTTGGAAGTAGCGGGTGAGACGGGAGAAAATGATCAATTTGAAGATTAAATAAAACCAACCGTATGGCCACCAATTGTAGAACATAGTCAGAAATTTGTATACTCGTTGGAACAGAGATACATATTTTCAGATTTAGGTCATCAATGCACTCACAATTGGACATATTTCTGTCAAACGGAACTATGTGTATTATGACATGAGCCCTGAGATCCATGAGAGTATATGCATAACAGGACTCACGTCATAATCCTTCAGTTCCGTTTGACAGAAATACGTCCAATTAGTTTTACGTAACGCAACAATCGTCGTTTCCCTTATAAAATAACGTAACTATATTTCAATGTTGCCAAATTCCCACTTGCAAATTGAACTTTTACCAGGAGAATCTCGGGCATTTCTAATTGAAAATTTCACTGATCTCCCTCCTGATCTCATACGAAAATTAGACGAATTTTGAACAAAAATTTCACTGGCATACTCTCTTAAAAACTTACGTTGTTTGAGCCAATTTTGCAACCTTGGAATGGAGTTACGTTCCTTCGTCCGGGATACGACGAAATGTGAGCTGAAAATAGGAGATAATTTGGACTACATTTTGCAATTAGGAACTAAAATTTCTGGCTCATCCTTAAAAACACTTTTGTGCATGGAGTGCACGATTTGTGCACGAAGAGCCTGAAAGAAGTTCGTGTGAGCAAATGCTTTTTGTCTCTTCGTTACTTAACTCTGCGACTCTTGCTCGGTTTTGAAGCTGCAGCGCATATCGATGGTGAAAGTGCAGAAGTGCGTATCTCGATGTTTGACAGTTTTGAGTTAGCTGCATAAACATGTTGTTGCAGATGTCGTCTATCTGCCAGCATGAGACTATAATCGAAATGTCACCTAAAGCAGCAGAACTTTTGTCGCGTACCTCGAGCTTAAGTGCAGAAATGCGTATCTCGTTCGGCCCCGTCATTTGATCCAGCGTGCTGCCAGCGCTTAACGCGCACTGACGCCTACAAACCTAAGGGGCTACTTCACGCATTGCGCAATGCTTGAAGTATCCCTTTAGGTTTGTAGGCGTCGGTGTGCATTTCGAGCTGGCAGCACGCCGCCGCGCCGCGTCGCAGCGTGCCATAAACTTGCATACGATTAATAGATCCGAGTGTTGAAATGAAGGCAATTTGACATCACATTCGAAATTAGCGACTCAAAAAAACATGGATTACGAAACTTCGTGATCGGTCAGTCATTATCCGACTTATTTCTTCCTATCCTTGAGTTTTGGACCATAGTGCGACACGCTCTCCTCAGTATTTTCCGCCTACAGCATACGTAAACTGATCAGCGGTTTGTATATTTTTATATTTTTTCGGGAATTCGCTGGTTTTGAAAAGTTGCTACGTTTGCCGATCGAGAGCCCTCCTGTATCATTTCTTCAAAGGTACCTATTACTATCAGCGCGCGACGTTCATGTCCAAAATTCACTCTCTGGGCCTGCAATCATGAACTGACGGTTCATCACAACATCACAACGGTCAGTTATATAGAGTCAATCGAGTCATACAATGCTTTGAGACGTTTGAGAGAGATCCGTTTGTTGCTTTGGTCATCGTATTCTCAAGCAAACTGAGAGAGTCGCCGTTTAGAAGATCGCACTTTTCGCAAAAGCGGTTGTGAATTTAATAAGTTTCGCACGGTTAAAATGACAAAAAAAAAGTCCAAGATACCCGAAATGCAAACACCTCCTTGATTTCCTCTGTGGTGTGTACCATACGTTTTAATGTAAAGACCAGAGGGTACGCCCCCAGACCGCTACGCGGCTGAATCCCACGTGGACGCTTCGCGCCTTTCTCCGCGAACCTTCTGTGGGTTAATCTGGCATAAAATAAGACAAAGCTCTAAAAAAACAATCAATCGGGGACCATATTAATGATTGTGGGGCGAGCTGGCTCATTCATTTTCAGTAATTCCAAAGGACAGAGAAGAAATATAGACACACCGTAATATGAGCTTAGTCAATAATAATGACACTTTACCATGAAAAAGAAAACAATTTTGTAAAGAGTAAGTCATGATTCGCCGACAAAATTGCTGGGATCAAGGTCTCATTCTAGTGCTCCAACTAACGGTAACTCCCATGCATTTCTGAAAGGTGAAAAGAGCGGGAACGCCTTCAATTCTTGAACATGCAACCCACACATCCGTTGAACACGGATAGTTGTATCAAGGCGCTGCGGAAGTCTGTCTTGTCTTTGTGAAGCGAGAGTGCCTTCAATTTTTGAACATGCAACACACATATTCGTGGAACACGAATTGTTGTATCAAGGCGCCTTGACCAACACAGGGTAGTATTCACTACTTGTAGTATTGACTTAGGTACTCAAAAGAGGGTGCAGACCCCCCATAGCCGAGGGTGGCCGCGTAACGGCCGGGGGACGTCCTCCTTATTCAAATCTACTTCGTCTTTTTACATCTTCTTGCTTTCTTACATCTTCTTGCTTTCTTACACCTTCTTGCTTTCTTACACCTTCTTGCTTTCTTACACCTTCTTGCTTTCTTACACCTTCTTGCTTTCCTACATCTTTCGTAACAACTATTAATTTCCGGAGACGTAATGTAGGAGAAGGAGACCAGATGTGATAAGGCAGTCATTTTGCTGGCTACTAGGGCACATGGAAAAGAGTGATTTTTGACTGTTGGAAATGCGTGGAGGACGTGCTCTATTTACAGCAGTTTTGTTTTTCTTGCGTGTAACTTCCTTGAAAACTATAATTTTGCGTGATGGACTTTCACAACAAATTAGCAGCAAAAAGTAAGCAAGATTCTATAACTCACAGTTAAAAATTTCCTGATTGAATTTTTGTGGATGAAAGGGACATTTTAAAAACAAAAGCATCATAAGAAATTTTTCTTATCGACATATTTTATGGAGAGGGCATCAGGGAACATTAAACATGTTCAGAACTTCCAAAATAAATCTATGAGAGAAAAATTAAAGTTTTTATATTACATTGTAATCGGCAAATTCAATCTATTCGCTTCCAGGAAGATAAAAAATCAATGCAGGTCAAATTAGTGATTGATACTGGATACAACACTTATCTATCGAAAAATAACTAATATTAGACTCATTCACCAATTTTTTAAACTCTTTCCCCGACTTTCTTTGGATTGTTCCTCAGAAGAGAACTATTGAGAGAAAAGTTTTACAACTTGGCGATTTGACAATGATACCCGATAAAATGAAATACGTACAACCTCAAAATACTGGGCTCCACAAAAACGTCCCTCCACTCTGATAAACGGTTTCCGAAAACTAGTAGAAAAATGTCAGCATAGTGAGGAAATTGAATCATCGTAAAAAAAAACACACGCATCGAATAGTGGCCAAGTGGAAATGGCCAGTAAGGCACAAATGGCCGTCGATATTTTTTAAATTGTTGTTTATTATTTTTTTCTTTACATATAAGCGCAATGGTTCAATTGACGAGAGCTGGAAACTCTTCTCTTCCCAGAGCAAAATTTGAAAATTCTGACTCGTGGCCCGATACATTCGTCGCTCTACTGATATGAGAACGTAACTTCACTACTACACTTCGCAATGAGCCCTGTGGTCCATATGACTCAATGCTTTCCCGAGCTCATCCATAAGTACAGTTGGACTGCATTTTGCAATTTGGAACTATAAATTCTGGTCCGGTTCAAAAACAACGCATGTGCCATTAGTATCCCCATGCACATAAATTTTTTTTCAGATGAGCCAGAATTTATAGTTTCAAATTGCAAAATGCAGTCCAGTTATACCCTTTTGTCAGTCAATTGACGATATATTCTTCAACTCCGCTGTTTCAGATTCGAAACGTTATCAAAATCGAAAATTGTCTCCTCATGGGGTACAGACATCTTTCTCCGCTTTGCAGCCCTATCCTCAGGGTCACTGGCTAGCGTGGAGGACCAAAAAATCACTGATAAAAAGTATGCGAAAAATATTTCTTCGCGACCTCCAGTACCGTCGCTGAATTTACTCGGTGGCTTGCAGGATGCATTTGTAAGTACGCAGTATCTATAATTACAAATTCCTTGCGCTGATTTGGACCATAGTGCTTCCTCAAGATTTGCGCGCGGAAGCGTCTGCCATGTTGAATATTGCGTAGCATCCCAGTGCGGAAGGGTTGGATAGAAAGTCTCCCCTCACGAAATGTTCACATGTGCCGTCCCAGATAAGACATAATATTTTTACAATATTGGGCAAATATTGTCAGTACTGTCGCAATATTTACACAATACTGACAATATGTTGATAATATTTTAATCAAAATTATTTTTTTAACAAATATTTAAAGAATCTTTATTTAGTATTTTTAAAAATAACATGTTTACCCAAAATATTTTAAAAAGATTGTCACAGTATTGACACAGTATTTCAAAGTATTTTAAAGTATTGGCACAGTATTTATTCCAGAAGGAAATATGGTGTACATTTTTAACATTGGCTCAATATTTAACCAATATTGGCCCAATGTTTGCATAAATATCAAAACAATATTGTTTAGATATTGGCTAAATATTTCTGTCTTATCTGGAGTAGTATTGTTTTTTAAGCGAAAAGCTTAAAAATACGTATATTTCTCACGCAGATAGCGAAGTATTTATAGGAGTGTCTTTCTGACCTTCTCGATGCGTTCATCGTGATTTTTCAGCCGTATTCTATAAGAAAAATGTCCTCTTCTTGGTATAGCTGATATTTGCAACAGGCCCATTTTGAAAAATTTATCCTCACTGCACTTTTTGGTTACATAACAGCGGTGCCCATAGTCTCCCTAAAAATGTGCCCTAACTGATGTGATTGGACGTTTTTCTGCTAAACGGAACTATTGAGGAGTGGGGAAGATGGGGTGCATGAGAATCAATGTAAAAGAATGCGTGATTCCCTTCGGAGGAATGGAAAAGTGGGATTTTACATTCTACCAAATGGAACTATAGTGCGAACTGATTAACTGAATACGGCACTCATGAGCCGTGAGCATGGGAAAAATGCGTTATGGACAGGGCTCATGAGTTAAAGCAGATGACGGGCATCATCAGCGCTTCGTCTCCGCTGACGTCATTGGCGCTTTATAATTCCCATTGATTCTTACGGCCCTCGACTAACAAGCACAATCCTTTTTTCCCACCTGTCTCTGGTTCCGCTCAGCAGAGAAACGTCCACTTGTGGTTTTCAGAAAACAGTTTCGCGGGTGATCGTGCCGAAGGACTCGTTCGGTTCGGCAGTCAATTCTCCAGCGTTCGTGGACAAAACGCTGTTCATCAAGTACTTCATGACGGAGACGAACCACACGTTGGTGCTGGCCCCGAACAGCTTCGGAAAATCGACCGTCCTCTCCATGCTCCGTGACTTCCTCGAGATGCCTGTCGATGCTCTCGGCAATGTGCTCGACAAGCGCACCTCGCCCAATTACAAGACCTTCCACCGGCTCAATATCTACCAAGAGGATCCGACTTTCTTCCAAGAGCATTTCGCCAACTACATGGTCCTCAAAATGGACTTTGCTGATATTAAAATGCAATCTCTCAGAGAGTTCATCCATTCCTTCAGACGCATGGTGAGTAGCCTCCGAAAGAAACCCATGCCCTTAGTTGCATTTTTCAACAGAAAAATCGCGACACTCCGAAATTAAGTTGCGATTTTTTACGATTGTTGGGCCGAATTGACCTGCTGCCATTTCAATCAGAATTTTATTTTAGTTTGTTGTATCGTAGTATGGAGTTATCGGCCGCCAGCGGTGTGGCGTGCTTTGCGATTCAGTGATGACATTTTATTTAAATTTATGAAAAAGGATCGATTAAGAGGGTAAAACCCGAACACCCCTGTAACTTTTCCCCCTATTGCGATGGGAAATTGTTATTGTAATTTCACTTGTTTGAAGGACAATAAATATGAATTTAAACAAAAATCATTTTTAAACTTTGAGGACGAGTCTCCATTGTTTACGAGTTTACAGCGGCTAATAAATCAGTTCAGTTATACAAGAGGTGCTGGCATAGTGTTAACCACCATAAAAACAGAAGAAAATTAATTAGATTTTTTATCATTTTAAATGACGGTAATTTATACAGAGCGTGCAAAAATTTAGTGGTAGTAACAAGTTGAAAACGCTGACTCCGCGAATTTAAGAAATCGCTTCAAACACGGTGCGGTCGGTGCAAAACGCATATTAGCGCCTACAAGACTCTAGGAATACTTCACACATTGCGCGTACACTAAGGTGAGCGCTGAGCGCATATTAGCGCCTACAAGACTCTAGGAATACTTCACACATTGCGCGTGCACTAAGGTGAGCGCTGAGCGCATATTAGCGCCTACAAGACTCTAGGAATACTTCACGCATTACGCGTTTACTACAAAGCGCGCTTTAACCGTTACGTTGAAAATGCTTAATTTCTTGGTGACGGACCTACCACAGTGTACACCACTTTTGACCAATGCACACCGTGAGCCTGCAACTTGGGATTCGAATCGTAGAGATTTTGCACCCCTGAATTGTACTTTAGTTAATTGAGTCATTGAAGTTGGAGTCAGTCCGTCCTCCTCTGACCGAGTTTATCCACGAGCCGCAGACTTTTGTCACAATTTATTCGTCAAAGAAAAAGAATGCTCAGTACATACAATTTTTTGGGAACTCCCCTAATTTTACTTCTGCAAGTGCAGAATATTCTGTGAAAATTTCAAGCAATATAAGTTGTTCAGTCTCCTTTAAAAAAAAGGTCGAAGATTAAAAAACCCAGCAAACGAGACCGTTGATATGGAACTGCTTTAAGCAGTAATGCTCTCGGTCTTGATCACCACATCCTAGATTCGTGCAATTGAATGCTCTCTAAAATTCGGTTCACGTGACTTAACTTTCAAAGACCAAGCTGCAAGAAAATTCAGTAGTATGAACTGAACCGTAGAGAGAGAGAGATCGGTTACACGATCCAAATAATATGACCTACAAGGAACACTGTACCACGGTTCATGACTCGATAATTTGGTAGTATGGACTTTAGGAGCAATTATGGTTGGTTCGAAACAACCATTTTGTTGGCTGGTTAAATGTAATCCAATTCCCTCCGCTAAACTGATACTCTATAAATAAACTCCCTAATTTAGGTGTCACTGAGGGCTGTTTATTGAAAGTGACAGGCAAAGCAATAGACACAGAAAACAAAATGAAAATGAGGCAATCCTATTACCGAAAGCAGGAGTTGCATTGGATAAAGGAAACAAGTAACTGGCTAATTGACAGCAACCACAAGATACCCTATAGTTGATCCATCATTAGTAAGAATCATTCGTTTCAACCAATAATATCACCCCTGTTTACTTTCGCCTTATTTGTCTATAGATTTTTCCATCAGTTTCAAAAATCAAGCCGCTGGTATGCTGAACGCTATATCCAATGGATCAGTACGCTGGTCATAGAATCGTGTTTCGATGTTTAATTCTTGTAAATTCTTGTAAAAATGTTAAGATCTGTCCAAGCGCGATATCTCGATCAATATTGAACGTAGAAAGTTGCTGTTTGGGACGATCTTAATATTTTTAGCTGATCGACAAGAATCAAGCATCAAAACACAATTCTAAGACCAGCGCAACTGGCCCATTCTGCGTCCTCTAAATGCTCAGTAACCAGCCAGGTTGGCCTAGTGGTCAGCGCGTCTGATTTTCACGGAATTGACGAGTAGATCTGCTGAAACAGATTCTACTCGGCCCTAATCCCTGACAATTTGAAATGCCTGGAGCATGGATGCGCCTAAAATCCCTCGATATCTACGGACAATAAACATAGTTTAAAGTTGACCAAAGGTGCTAGACACGAAGCCATAAAACCATCGGAAATAAGGTCCAGTTACACGATCAAATTGACCCATCAAATTGGGCCTCTCATTGGTCGCATACTCACGTGAGGTCTTTTTCCACCAATGATAGCTTCAGTTTGATGGCTCAATTTGATCGTGAACCTTTAAAAAAAAAGGTCAGTAAGAAAACGGCATTGAAATAGGATGCTTTTGCAGGTGAACCGGCTTTTCTCGGAGCACCCATACCTGCTGCAAAGTCCGAAGCTGAGGCGCTCGGATCATGAGAAGTTCGAGAAGTACTCGTTCCCCCGCTGCCAGATGAGCCACAAGGACCTGGCCTCCGGGGGGCGCGTCTTGAGCCAGCTCCTCTTCAAGCACTTCCGGAAGCAGAGCATCCTCCTCGTCGACAACGTGGACGCCCCGGCCGCCAGCCTCGCGCTCTGCCAAGACACCAGCAACGTCGCGCACATCCTCACCGTCATCTCCAAGTTCATCGCCAAACTCCTGCGCAACAACCACCAGGTCTACCGCGCCCTCTTCACTGGCGTCCTCACCGTCGCTGACGTCTACACCCGCGAGGCAAATACCCTCGACCACCGACCCGTCTTCGGCGACGCACAGATCGGACCCTACTTCGGCCTTACCGACCACGAGGTAATCAGAATGGGTCAGCTGCGCAAGTCCCATAATGGACCACTAGACAAGGTACGAATTTAAGCATTCTGATACATGTTTCTTAACCAGAATTTCACGTAGAGCACGATTCGCGCAATGAAAACTAATGAAACAAACTCCAAACGAAGATATTAACGTTTTTATTTCACATTGGTTACGAGGAATTTGAACTGCCCGCTGACAAGAAACTCAAAGGTCTACGTGAGTCAAATCGCGCACTACAACGGTTTTAACAAGTCTCAATCGAGTAATTATTTCACTTCCCACCATGCGTTGTTCAAACTAATAGCAATTTGCTCCAGCTGAGCCAAAGCGTCAAGATTGAGGTTGCCAGATTTTTATATCGCAGAGACTGTCATGATAACGTTTAGCGCACGATGTGAATCACGCAGAGCATTGAGTTTTCATGAGCGGGTGGTTTGAATTCACGCATCAAGAATCATTAAATATCTTTGGAAGGAGTTGATTTTAGTAATTTTCGCTGTGCGCGTCGTATTTTACGTGAAATTTTGGTCAAGAAACATGTATCTGAATGCAGAAATTCGTACCTTGTCTAGTGGTTCATTGGACGCATTTCTCTCAAACGGAACTAAGCACCATAGGGGGAGGAAGGGAGAGGGGGGCTTGGATTGGCGGGTGTTACGGAACGCGATGCTAGTCTGCCCTATACTCGCAATGCTTTTCCATAGCGCTTAGTTCCGTTTGACAGAACGCGCTATCCGGGATTCTAAAATCCTCAAAAAGGAACTCAGTTCGGCGCTTAGTCCTGTTTAACAGAAATACGTCCAATTACGCCCTGGTAAAGATTGGCGATAAGAGCTGCGTTTCAAAATACCATAGGAATTTGTATAGCCGGCTAATGAAGGTCACAGAAAATCATATAGCTGGCTGTAGAATGCGGCGAAAATCATACGGTCGGGTCATACGAAGCGATAAAAAATTATGCAGCCGGGCTTTAGTTCTTATCGCCGGGCTTTACGCTTTATCGCCTGGCTGTTGCTTTTTCGCCATCGACTGTAAAAGGCTATAAGAAATTGTGTAGAAATTCGTGTGCTTTGGAAACCATTAAGTTTGATACGGAACCACCTTAATATTTACCAAACACACATTATATTTTCCTTTAATACATTTCTTTTCATCAATTAAAATGCGAATAATGCATACAGGATGTGCAAACATTTCAAAATCATGAGTTGAATAACGCTGACTCCGCCAGATTAATTATTAGAACCTAACACAAAGCGGAGCGGCGACGCACCGGCGCCTACAAACCTAACAGGGATACTTCACGCATTGCGCAACGCGTGAAGTATCCCTGTTAGGTTTGTATAGGCGCCAATGCGCGTTTCGCGCTGGCTGCCCGCCTGCCGCGCCGCAGCGTGCCACGGCGCTTGAAGCAACTATTTCACACCAGAGGTATTGCACATCATACGATACTGAAGGCGCTCTGATATATTAGGGATGGCAGGCATCAATCAAAAGTACGGAGCTTTCCTCGCAAAATAAATCAAGATACTACGGCCCAAAAAGAGAGTAGTAGTCCAAAAACTAACTAAGTCCTAGCATCCGTAATTAGTAACGTTTAGCATACACTTTATTGCCTGGCTGTTGCTTAATCGCCATCGGCTATAAAAGGCTATAAGAAATTGTGCAGCCGGCTACAGAAGCTATTGGAAATCTTACAGTCGGCTGTAGGTCTATGGTATTTTAGAACACAGATTCTACTGCCAATTTTTACCAGGGCGACTTCTACCACTACTACTAAGTCAATCTTACATCACTTCTGTGCGCTCTGTGACACCCAACCGCCACTGATAGCGATCCTGCCAGAGCTCCTCTGGCAGATCGCATCTCCTCATTTCCTGCCTTATTCCCTCAATGATATCTTTGCGATTTCTTATTTTTTCTTTTTACACTCACGCCTAGATTACGAGTGGGTACGTGGAGGTCTCCCATATCTGGCGCGCCCCAGCGGGCTGATTATTGAAATTGATAGACAAAGCGAAAGACGAAGACGACGCTCTGAAAGTAAAGTGATTCAGTTGGTGGAAGCGGGTGGTTGCAATAGATAAAGGAGGTAAGTAATAGATTAACTAAAGAAAACCCACGAGAGACCCTAAAGTTAGTTCATCATTTTCCCCCTCAGTCTATGAAAACTACCCGTTGCAATGAACAGGATTGCTCCATGTTCCCAGTGTCCTCTTTGTCTATCGTTTTGTCTATCTACTTCAATAATCAGCCCGCAAGGAGGGTTTCCATTTCTACTCCTGTAATCTAGATACCAGTCGTGTACCTGTCTCACGTCCCTAGTTCAAATTACGGACCCTGGTGTCTATCGAGCAGCTGGTTGTGATTTCATGATTTCAGATCATAGTGCAGTAAAAAATAATATGATCCGCCCAAACACCCTTTATCAACGGCGATATCGCTATCCAAAAAAAAACAAGCTGTATGACGTCATGTACTGCGGTGGTGTATGAAATGGTTTCTTCCACCTTATTTTCATTCTTGTTTTACGTCGAGCAAATACTGCAAATGTGCATATCCCTCATTGATGAAATTAAGGTGGAAGAAACCATGGAATGCACTACCGCGGTGGATGACGTCTTCGTGCTTTTCCCGACTGTGACAAGTTTGCGCGGGAACATAAATTGGTAAAAATCGAATATTTAATAGGGATTAAGATATGAACATTGACACAATAGACCACTAGACGAGGTACGAATTTCAGCATTCTGATACATGTGTCTTCACCGAAATTTCACGTAAAACACGATGCGCACAACTAAAATTACCTAAATCAACTCCATCCAAAGATATTTAATGATTCATGGTGCGTGAATTGAAACCACCCGCTCATGAAAACTCAATGCTCTACGTGGTTCACATCGCGCGCTAAACGTTATCATGAACGTCTCTTCGATAAAAAAATTTGGCAACCTCAATCTTGACGCTCTGGCATAGCTATAGCAAATTACTTAAAGTTTGAAAAACACATGGTGGGAAATGAACATTGCTCAATTGAGAAGCTCGCTGAAACCGTTGTAGTGCGCGATTTGACTCACGTAGAGCTTTGAGTTTCTTGTGAGCGGGCAGCTCAAATTCCTGGTAACCGATGTGAAATAAAAATGTTAATATCTCCGTTAGGAGTTGGTTTTAGTAATTTTCGTTGCGCGAATCGTGCTCTACGTGAAATTCTGGTTAAGAAACATGTATCAGAATGCTTAAATTCGTACCTTGTCTAGTGGTCCGATTAAACAAATTATTTAAATTAAGCAACACGAAGAATCGAGTGAACAACGAAACATCACACGATTCCCTTTCACTTCTCCCTCTTTTAGTTGGTCCTGGATCTCTATACGTAAGGACTCGGATCCCCCCTTCTTGGAGCCTCCCCCCCCCCCTCCACTCGGACCTCCCTAAGAACCCCTACTTGGCACTGCGATTGATATTGCAATATGGTCAATGTTTTCCCAACTTTGCAAGGGAGTCGTCTCGCGGAGAGAGAGCCTTAAAATTTAATTTTTAAAGTAAAACTAGTTATCCTAATCAATTTTCCAGGTCCGGGAGCTCATGGTCAAGTCAATCCGACACGACAAACTTGACGAAGCGCGGCGTATGTTCGGCGGCTACAAAATCAAAGACAGCCGTGAGACGCTCTTCAACACCAAGTCGGTCACCAAGTTCGCTGCTGACGGGGAATATAGCCGTGGGATCAAGACTCCGCCCTATCTGCTGGAGCTGAAACCCATCTTCGAGTACGATATATTCGGAAAGGTCATCGAGGATTCTCTGGAGGGCGAGACCCCGGTTACCCTGCGGCTCCAGTTTAAGGAGAAACACTTGTATATGCTCAAACCTCTGCTGGATGCGAACTTGCTCAAAAAACAATCCAAAGATCACTTGCTCGGACTTCAATATAAGCTGTTCCAATATTTATTAGAATACGGTTAGATAACGAAAACATTTACTCTTCTTTTCTCTTATTTTTTGTGATAGCAGATAGCTATTCAATTAATCGCAACAACAAAATATGTAAGATTATAAGAGAAAAGGAGGAGACACCTACTCTGCCGTGCTAAGGAAGAACGCCGTATGAACATTCGAAAGTTGCCAAATTTCCCTTGATAAAACGTGTATTTTTGACAACACTTGTGCATTTTTTTCCTTGAAATGTTCAAATATTTTAGATATAATTGCGTACAAAATTGTCTGAAAATTTTGGAAAATAATATTCACTATTTTCCCAGTAAATTTGGTTTCTATCGGAGGAAACTTGGCAACGTCTGAAGGCTCATACGGCGTTCTTCCTTAGCACGGCAGTACTAAGGTAAAGCCTTGGGTCAGGTGGAGCCCACAGACTGAAAAAGTAAAGAAAAGTGTAAATTACAAATTGGAAAACAGCAGAAACCTGACTGAAGAAAATACATTAAGTTTTTTTGTCCTCACCCCCCCCCCTTTTCAGATACTCCTGGTGGGGGGGAGGGGGGAGGGAATCGGAATTTAACAACTGGACTGCATTTTGCAATTTGGACCTATAAATTCTGGCTCATCTGAAAAAACACTTATGTGTATAGGGAAACTAATGGCACATACGTTGTTTTTCAACCGGCCCGGAATTTATAGTTCCTAATTGCAATATGTAGTCCAATTAGAGTCCCATTGGGCGCCCTCTGCGCCTTCTCCCAGAGAGAACCCGATCAAGGAAAATCTTTGGCAACCTGTCTCCTGCCATTCTCTGAACATGACCATACCAAATGAGTTGTTCCTCTTGCTGAGTGGTTGATCTTATTTCCTCTTCTCTCATTATCAGGTTACTACACCGTCCGAGACTACGTGAGCAACAACGCAGTCCGTGTCATCGTCCCGAACTTGGAGATGAAAAGCGAGCTGAAACGGTTGATCTACACGAGGAAATTCTTCGTCGACAAGTTCCGCATCGAGGAGTCCACGCTGGCCGACTACCTGATGGCGATAGACATGCTGACGAAGAATCGGACCAGTTTCGAGACCCTGTGCGCGAGCGTGGCCGGGATATTCGCGCATAACATGCCGGAGAGGTCCTTCGAGGTCCAGGGCCCGCTCTTGGCGTATCCTGCTCTCTGTCCTGGCGCCTTCGAGGAGGTTTACACCGAGCTCCATTCGGAGAGGGACCGCCCTGCGGACGTCTTCATACGGAGGAACGACGGTGCGGCCATCGTCATCGGGCTCACGCTGGATGGGGATCCCTTCGAGAGTCTGAAACAAATCGTCGGGCGTGGATACTACAAGGAGAGGGTAGAGCGATGTAGGAGGAAGATTTACATCGGTGTTAACGTCGATAGAAACAACCGGTGCTTGATTAGTTATCTGTGGAACAGTGAGGACTTAGCCAACGCTGAGAATGTCAGTTTTACAGCGGATGTCAGAAGCACACGTTGAATATGGGAGCTGCTGTCCCAGTAGCACAGAGAGATTGCGATAAGTAGAAATTACATTCCACTGAGTGTTGTGTATGTTGCCTAGCTCCTATTTGAAGGGGTTCCATTTATTGAAACTTATTGCGGTAAAATTGAAATAAGTTGCAATCTTACGTTGCATTGCATATCGCCTATCCTTATGACACATGAAGCTCATTTTGTTGATTGTTTAAAATCGGCATAAATCGACTAAAAGATGCAAAAATATTGCAATTTAATGGTTAAAAAAGTACAATTTTATTGAAATAAAATTGCAATTTAATTTCAGTATTTTCGTTGCACTGTGCTACTTGGGTTAATGTGGCTTGAATGTGGAAGTCATGCTTGAATGCGCGTGTCGCGCAAAATTTAGCAACGATTTTCAGCGACCATCGGGCAGTGTCGGATTTGCCTAAATATTCGAATAGATTTGATACAAATCTGGATGAAAATAACACGAATTTGCGAAATTTCAGCCGTTTCGCGATGACTGTTGACTTCCATATTCAGCTACCAAATTCAACCTGTGATTCCGGTATGACTAAAAACATCTCACGGGTACCACGCGGATGTAACCAAGCCCAAGTAGCACGGATTGTAAAAGGTAGCATTTACATAGTAAAAATATTGCAATTTAATTGAGTGTTGTGTATGTTGCCTAGCTCCTATTTGAAGGGGCCTCATTTATCGAAACTTATTGCAATTGAATTGAAATAAGTTGCAATTTTTCATTGCATTGCATATTGCCTATCTTTCTGACACATGGAGCTCATTTTTTGATTGTTTAAAATCCCGGCCTAAATCAACTGAATGATGTAAAAATATTGCGGTTTAATGGTAAAAAAATTACAATAGTATTGAAATCCCATTTCAATTTAATTTCAATTTTTTCATTGCATTATGTGCTACTTGGGAGCAGTGACCCCGATAGATTGCGATTTGATCAGAGGATGTACAATTGTACAGCGATTTTGTCGACGTCGATTTATTGCTGCGTTATCGTATAAAAAATTGCGATTTCATCTTACAAAGAAGGGGTATCGTTAAGGGCCTTTTTTGGGCCCACCCTGAAATTCCTCAACTCCGCGATTTTTTGGTCATTGAAGGTCTATATTTTACGGAATTCATAATGGTTTGGTCATTTCCGATCTATTTCAGGGTCTACCACTGGCCTAAACATGGGTCTGAAGGCCGATTTTGGCGAAAAATGCTGGTTTTTCGGCATTCAACGCGCTGTTTCATACCGATCCCTTCGGAGGACAAAAAAGTCCTTCAAGTATGTTCATTAGGGATGTAAGAGAATCTTTTTGGCCAATTTTCGTTGATGTCAAACTTTGCGCTCATAGTTAAAAAAAACTTTTTAGAATTTTCCTGTTTTTCATCATTATTTAAAATGGCTTAAAAAAGCGACTCATCTGACGCCAGAGTTTAACTTATTTGACAATAAATGGACGTGGGTGGTCAAAACCTTCCTCAAAAAACTTTTTTGGATTCAAAGCCCCCCCCCCCCAAAAAAGCCGGTGTTGCCATATTTTATTGCCTGAATTCACGGAAAATCTATTATTTCAGAATTCGGAGGCTGTTCCTCGTCAAGAACATTCCGCAAGTTCAGAAACCTTTATTTTTCACACGCCGTGGCCACATTAGTAGGAATTTTATGCATGTTTTATCTATTTATGTATTTATCTCCCGCTGTGAGCGCAGAGTTTGACATCAACGAAAATTGGCCAAAGTGACTCTCTTACATCCCTAATGAACATACTTGAAGGACTTTTTTGTCCTCCGAAGGGATCGGTATGAAACAGCGCGTTGAATGCTGAAAAACCAGCATTTTTCGCCAAAATCGGCCTTCAGACCCATGTTTAGGCCAGTGGTAGACCCTGAAATAGATCGGAAATGACCAAACCATTATGAATTCCGTAAAATATAGACCTTCAATGACCAAAAAATCGCGGAGTTGAGGAATTTCAGGGTGGGTCCAAAAAAGGCCCTTAACGATACCCCTCCTTTGATAAATGTTATGGGAATTTGTTGGGTCGACCATTTTTCAAAGGCAACGAGAGAAGTAGGACAAATCAACCTATTCTCAAAGCTTTAATACTTGTACAAAATACGTCGTTTCACGATTGAAAAATGTAACTACAATTTTTGCCGATGTATGTAGGAATATAACTGTGCAATACTACCACACCTAGAGGAAGAACACCGCATGAGTCGTCAGACGTTGCTAAATTTCCTATGACAAATTATGATAAGAAATCTGTGATTATCTTCCACCAATTATTCAGAGTAGTATATTCGCAATCAGATCTAAATTATCCGAAAATTTAAACGAAAAATATTCATAATTCTCCTTTAAAATAGACATTGAAACTTCGGCGAGAAGCTCGAATGTTTATACGGCGTTTTTCCATAGCACGGCAGAATACTGCCGTACTAAGGAAGAACGCCGTGTGAACATTCGAGAGTTGCCATATTTCCTTCGATAAAATGTTCATTTTTGAGGAGAGTTATGAATATTTTTTCTTAAAATTTTCAGAAGTTTTAGATGAAACTGCAAACAAAATTATCTGAGAAATTGGAAGAAAAATATTAATAACTAGTGTTTTTTTCAAATGAAATTTGGCAACGCCTGAGGGTTCATACGGCGTTTTTCCTAAGCACGGCAGAAGAGCTGCCCAAATCATGCTAATTTCACATGTAATCAGATGAAAACTCTGCCACATTTTCAGTTAAAAACTTGATAAATACAATCTGGGAGCAGGCGTTTCGCTATGTTGAAATGTAGTTCCGTACTTTTGTCCAGGCGACATTGGCGGATCCAGCAAATTGGCAACATCGTCTTTCCTCCATTTAAACGTATGGAAATGTATCGATTCTTGGGGGGGGGGGCACGTGCTCCGACAAGAATCGATTTTTTAGCATAGGTTTAAATGGAGGGAATCCGGGGTTGCCAAATTGCTGCTCCTGGCGACCAAGAATCCAGTTGTCTGTAGGTCCGTGCACGGGCTCAGTGCTACGTAATCTCGAGGTATTTTTCTCACCATTCAACCATTCAATTTCTCACAAGAATTTTCCAAAAATGTAGCCCGCATGCATGAAATTACATAATTTGTATTATATTAATCTGACATACCGATACATTTTGGCAAACGCAATCATCAAACGCACATACTACAATTAACAAAACACAGTAATAAAAAACCAAAATTATGTATATAGGTTGAGAAAGAGACGAGATGTGAGAAGGAAACGACAATTAAAAAGGATAAAAATTTTAAAGCAATGAAAAGTTTGTGATTTCACGCATCTAGACTAATTTTTTTGTCAAGTCATAATTAATAGATGAAATAATGCAGAAATTCAAGAAAAATAACTTTCCCTCCATTGTGAAAGTAAACTTCGTGCTGCAGCATTTAAACGTCACCTTGGCTTACCATGAATGGGCATCGTACTTTTCTACTTTTCTACTTTTCTACTCCTGCGTTAAAGTCCCCTTGTGATAGACTCGGAACGGTGCGGTGCTGTGTAACACAATGGTTACAAACCGTAGACCCTACACTGCCGTGCTATAGAGAAACGCCGTATGAACCTTCAAGCGTTGCCACATTTCCTTTGATAAAACACGAATTACCTAGTAGAAGTAAGAATATTTTTCTTCAAATTTTTCAAATAATTTTGTTCCCAATTTAACCTAAAGCTCCAGAAAATCTCAAAGAAAAATGTTCATAACTTTCCTCAAAAATAAACCTTATATCGAAGGAAATTTGGCAACTCTCGGATGTTCATACGGCGTTCTTCTTTTGCACGGCAGTATACCACACAGACTTATGACATCACCTTGGCCTATCATACATGACGAGTAGAAATTCAAAACCTGGCGAGCGTCATCAGGTTATTGCTAAAATATGCAAGTTGCTCCTCAGCGTAAAGTGTCCCGTTTTCATTGGATATCCATCAGGAAATTTTCTCTAAATTTGGTCTATTAGAAACTGAAACCCCATTATAGGCACCTGATGGCAGTTACCAGGTATTTAATCTCTGCTCTCCGTGTAAAAAAGAAAATTCACACTTCTTCAGCTTCGTGTTGCTCTCGCCTGAAAATTTCAGTTTCGTATGGTTCAATAAAGAGATTCTCAGGTTTTGACGTCAGCCAGAAGCTATACTGCCGTGCTAAGGAAGAACGCCGTATAAACCCTCAGGCGTTGCCAAATTTCCTCCGCGATATCACGAATTTTTGGGAAAATGTTTAAATATTTTTCTCCCAAATTTTCAGATAATTTTGTTC